GAATGCTAACACAGTAAAACTGAAGCTGGGGCAGGGGTGGAAATGAACCCGAAACAATGGCAAACAGTACTGTTTGCTCAGGCAGCAGGAGACAGCTGTGATCACATCTGAAACATGAGAGTGCGGGGAGTTACAAAGCAGCATCTAAAAAGAGCTTTAGAATAAGCAGAGCTGAGCAGAAACACAAGCTGCTCTCTTTGAGCTGCAAAAAAGGGTTGGTTATAGAATGACTGAGAACTAAATTTCAAGTTTTATGTCTCATTCCAAATTTTCCAATTCAGAAAGTACAAAAGTAACATTCATGTGCCTTTTACTTCACACTGATACTTAAGAAATAGAAGTTTCAACTCATGCCAGATGACCTGTCACCCCAAGCCCTTGACATGGGCAACTGCAGAATATGCATTACAGATGCATGCAGCACAAAGACTGAAAATATTAAAGTCCAGATCTTAAGTAGCATAAACTGGCTCTAGTTTAGCCTACACCAGCTGCTGATCTGGTCTGTAAGTGGCTTACAGTAGTAACAGTTGGACAGATGATGGTTTGCATTCACTAAATGCTGGTGAGGGCTACCTATTCAGACATGCTTAGCTCACATTTGCGGTCAGGAGGCTGATTGTATCAAGCATTTTTAATATCCCTCTTCCTTTTGCTGTTCTTCAAAGAAATTGTTACATGCCACAGTCAAAGCTGCAACCAGAATGACAAATTCATGAAAATCCACTTCATTGTCTTGGTTGGAGTCCAGATCTTTCATAATCTTGTCAACCAGAAGAGGATCCTTTTGGCCCTAAAGAGACAGAGCAGTGACTTAGCTGTGCAGAATCTAAATGCATAATTCTGACACAGCTGACAGTGTGACCCACTGGTATGTCACAAGCCCCAGTGCCATGAAATAAAATGCTGCATGAAATATGCACTGGAATACTAATATACCATTAATCATACCATTAAAAACATAGGCCTGAAGTCTCAAAAGTGCACAGCAGAACTGAAAGCAGTGTGGCTCCTAAAAGGAAAGCAGGTACTAAGTAGGTATGGAATTTAATCAAATATATTTTAGGACCTGCTGAGTACTTTCTTTTGACAAGATGGATCTGTAATGTGCATTTCTCTGTATCAATCCCTAACAAACACTAATTAGATTACAGGCTTAGTGGTCACATTATATCTCCATTCATCACATTCAAAAATCTTTGTTTAGCAAACAACACATCCTATTCAATGTGAGTAAGAACAGTGAATCTCATAATAATAAATCAATATAAAAGACTAAAAGAAAATCCAATTCAAGGAAATTGATACAATGTAAAGTAGTCCTGCTGACAGTAGTAGGGACAAAAATTCTTACGATTAAGAGGGTACAGAAAAGCAATCATGAATGTGGTCAATGGCCATTTTGTGCGAGATACTTTCTTGTCTCATGAGAACTGGTTGCTGGATTTAATTATTTGAAGGACTTATCTATGCCCTGTTTCTCAAAATAAATAAATAAACAAAAAAAAAACTGTTAAAGACTGATTTAGCATCTATTTTGCTACTGCTTCTAGGCTGCCCTTGCCCTGCTATTCAAAAGTGCAGAGGAGTAAGTGGAGAGCAGGCAGCACATGGCAGGGCACTAGGGTGGACCACCCTCTGGAAACTCACTTGTCTAACAGGATATTTGATCTCATCTCCTTCTGTCTGACTCCATGAAGAGAGCTGTCACCTGAGAGGCTGTAGCAGGATGTGTATAAGGAGATGTTACATAAGGATCTCCTGTATAAGGAGATGTTAATCCTGGACACCTCTATAGCTGCTTATCCCACCCATGAAATAGTAACTTAAAAGTTTTGGGAGCTATGTCTTACTGAAAAGAAGTCAGTGAGCTCACTGGTGAGGAGGTCCTTGAGTTCTCTTTTACTGAGCTTGTATCTGTCTCCTTCTTTGCCAGAGTAGTGATGGAAAATCCTGATCAAGGTGTCCATCGCATCCTCCAGCGGTGTGGACATAGCAGCGAGCGGGAGACCTATGGGGAAAAAGGTTGAAGTCAGTGACACTGCATAGGAGCCAAGATGAAAACTAGTCTCACAGAAGGGATGGAGAGCTAGGCAAAGAGAGAATGTGTTACCAATACTGAAAAAAATGGGTTTCCAGTTGATCCACCCTGTCAGCTTGGTGTGAGGAAGGCTAGACTGCTGTGAATTAAACTGAACTCACTAGCAATTACTTCAAAAAAGTAAATGGAAAGGAAGGCCATTATTTAAGAAAGTGATATGCTGTGACTCCATTTTGCAAAGCTATTATAAAAGGACATGTCTCATACTGATAGCTGAAAACACAGGGAAAATGAAGGCATACCCTCCTACCTTGATCACTCAAGAATTTTCTCAAGAAAATAAGCTCAACAAATAACAGTGTCCAAAGTGGCTGTGCATTTATACAGAAGTTTCCACACCAGTTTCTTTGGTGATTAGAGGAAAGTCAACTTTAATAAGGATGAAAGCATTAGTTTTCCATTTTTTCTGTTGTGTTTGCTTGGGCAGACCTTTCTTCCTGTAAGTCACCTGGAACAAACAAATGTGAACTAGGCACCCCTGGGGCTTTGCCTCATTGAGCATGCAGTAAGAAGGTACACAGGGAGGCACCACCAAGAAAAAAGTTGGAAATGTAATTATTTGCTGAGTAGTTGACTCAAAAAATAACTAAGAATAGAAAACAGGTGAAAAAGGAGACATTATGTTGATTAAGCTCTGGGAGAAAGATTTAAAAGCCAGAATGATATTCAAGGTAAGACTGGAGTCCTGAGAAATATCATTCTGCAAAGGCTAAGACTCACCTGCCTTACAGGCTAGCTGAGGCGTGTGCAGGAAAATACTCAGATCACAGATGGAGATGGACACCTTCCTTACCAACCCTATGCACAGGATCTTGTTTGTCAGACTGAGAGGGTGGATTACACAGAGACAGACGTATAGCTGTCACAAGGATGATGGGGCTTCTGTTTCCCTCTGCATTTGCCTACTCTGTTCAATAAAAGCTGCTTGCTGTAAGTGGGTCACTAAAATATTCACTAGGCAGAGCAGAAGGCTGTGTGTGGAACATACGAGATAGCTTTTATCATTTGAACTTTCACAAATACGCCCAGCAGGGGCCTGAATGTCAAAATTAGAAAATGCTAACAACCACTAAGTCAGTGTAAAATAATTTCCCCCCATTTTCAAAAGAACTCTGACTAATCTGTCTTTTTGCACTTCTACAGCTGAAAGTCTAAATGCCTAGGCACTGGCAGCCAGTGTTCAAAGATAAAAGATACTTGGGTACCTAGAGGTAGCCTTGTAGGTGAGTTTGCCAAAAATCCCTTGAGACATTTATCTGTATTGTCAGATGTCTCCATAAGCCTAAAACATTGGCCCTTGCTGAATTAAATTCTTGGTATAATACATGTGTGTCAGGAGGAAAAAAGGAAACCAGTTTCAGAGGATGGTGTACTTGAAATTATGGTGTGCACTGATTAACAGACTTCATTTTTATCAGTCCTGCACAACTGCTGTTCAGCATGTCTCTTTCAATACTCCTCCAGGAAAGCCCCACCCCCATCTGATTCCAGGGACTCACTGACTTTGGGAGCAATGGCTGTGGGATGCAAGAAACAGCAGCTTCACCAAGGTAGAGCCTACCTAACACCAGAAACACCTAATGGCTATGATTTTCACAACAGCCACGTGAAATGGAAAACTGCTTGCTTTGGGTTTGCTTTCCCTTAATAAAGCCTTCCACCCTCAGCCTGTGTGTGTCCTGCAAGCACAACTGTGCCAATAAATGGCAAGAGAGCACACAGTTGCAGCTCTTTCTTTCATTCCAGCAGGGGGAAAAGAATGAAATGGGCATGATTTTTAGCTGTGAAAGCCTCCAGGCACTTGTACTTTTAAGTGCCGTAGTGCCCCTTGGCTTCCAGACATAACACTTCTTCCATCTGTGTCATTGTGACAAGACTCCACAATTCCAGAAGGTCTTGGCTGTGTCTCTGGAAGAAGGGGAAGGGGTACCAGGTAAAAAAAATGGATCCCAGAAGTGTGGGAGGTGATGGTAGTGTAAACTGTTGTTTCCAAAAGAGCAAGAAGGCTTTTTTGGTTAGAGGTCCCTGAAGACATGCACAATGCTGCAGGCAGGGTGTATGATTTCACCTTCCATCACTGAGGTGGTGAGTGCTTACTAGGGATAGCTGGAGTTGATGCTGAGGCAAATCTGAGAAAAGGTTCAGGTGGAAACTAGCCTGGAAATGTTGATATGCCACAAGTGGAACCTAATGCCTCCTGGAGTCAGAGGTGAGTTTTGGAGGAGAGTTGCTCTGCATAGCTCGCCTGTGTTTGGGGATAGCGAATGGGTGTGTGGTTTTGTACACAGGAAGCAAGTACAGGGATTCAGCTGAACCGTATGCAGCACATGGTGGAAGAACATGGGTGACACCAGGTACAGCCCAACCCTCCTGCTCATATCCAGGGCATACTCTGTGTCATTGCAGATGCTGAGAAAAAGCCTCTCATGGAGTCTATCATGTACAGCCATGCAGGGCTATATCTTGCCTGTGATTCACTAAATCTTGTAACAATTGGTCAGAAATATTAGCCAGATAAATTTTAAAACACTGGAGGTTTCTGCCATTTATTCAACAACATTTTTACGCATGCAAAAAAAAAAAATGCAACTAAGTCAATACATACATACAAAATACTCCTGTTTGTCTATATATTACATCTATCCTCTGGCTGATAAAGACTGCAAATTAATTATCTAAGCAGAGTCTACAGGAGGTACAATTTCCATGGAGCAGGTATAAACTTTCAGAGCTGCCATCCTCAGGATAGAGTAAAGGAGGGTTTTTTCTGTTGTCTCCAGGACACCATCTCAATAATTTATACAGTGATACAATCGATGCAATCTCTTTCAACAGCTCTTTCACTCCAGCTAGTTGTATAAGAAACTCTGTTCCACTCTAGATTCTATGTACACAGGAACACCTCCACTAAACTTGTTTGTTAAGCAGTCCAGCCAATTTGCTGTGTCCATCCCTTCCCTCCCTGGCTAGTAAAATCCTGCCTGCAGCTCAGTGACAGCAGAGGCCTCTTAACTCCTCTAAGGGCATATCCCTGAGGCTGCTCAAAATGCCTGATTAGCACTCAACTGCTTTATCCTTTCATCCAAAACTCCAGCACAATCTGGTTTTATATAGTATTTAATAGGCTTTGGAGCTAGCTGGGAGACCTTAGACCATCCTTCCAGCACCTGAAGGGGCTACAGGAAAGCTGAGGAGGGACTGTTTACAAGGGTTTGTAGCAATAAAATAAGGGGCAATGGCCTTAAACTAGAGCAGGGGAGATATAGACTGGATATTGGGAAGAAGTTCTTTGCTATGTGGATGGTGAAGCACAGGAACAAGTTGCCCAGGGAGGTGGTGGAGGCCTCATACCTGGAGACATTTAAGGTCAGACTTGACAGGGCTTTGAGCAACCTGACCTAGTAAAAAGGTCCCTGTGCACTGCAGGGGGACTGGACTAGATGACCTTTAAAGGTCTCTTCCAACCCCACACATCCTATGATTCTGTGATTCTATGATAGCTGAAGTCTGCAAGCACTTCTGTATAAGGGCAAGACCCAATTCTCTGTCCATCATTCTCCTTTCAGTCTTCCACTGCACTCTAGTTTCTACAAGGGTAAAGAGGGTAGCAGCAGTAGACAGGTGACTGACAGAGAGAGCAGGACCACCACATGACTGGAGAGATGAAGTCTGATGTCTTCATCATTCACGGCTAAACCCAGACAATTGCAATCTGCCGAATCACAGCAGTGTCGGTGGGAAGACATATCTGGAGGATCCTAGTCCCACATCCTGTTCAAAATGGAATGATCACCAATGCCAGACCAGATCAGCCATGGTTTTAATCTTGAAAAACTCCAGGAGATTTCACAAATTATTGGTTAACATGCTCTAGTGCTACACGATCTTTTTGGGGAAGATGTTTTTCCTACTATCCAGTCTGAGCATCCCAAGCTGCAATTAAGGGCACTGGGCCTTTTTGCACCACCTACCACTACCAAAAAGAGCTTGACTTTGTTTACTTTGCATGAGCCCTTCAAATACTCTTGGCTCCTTGGCTGAACTGAAGATTAAACTCAAAAGCAGCCTGCGCCTTTACTTGCCCAATCTAGTTCCATATTTTAGTGTCCTCTTCATATTATGTGCTTGTCCCCTGCAGACTGCTCCAGGTGTGCCCTTCTCCTCATGCATTACCATTATATTAAAGTGCATACTACAAAATCAATGGCTGTCAGAAGCAAAAGGGCAGATTTTTCACCTGGCATGACACAAAGACTATATAGGGCTGAATTCTGCCATCTTTGCTCAAGCAGTAATAGGTGATAGTCTTAATTAATTAATCAGATATCTGATTTCACTGGAGGCTCATGAGAGAGGCAGAGGTTATTCCTTGCCCTATGTCATGTTTTAACTCCAGCCAGCAATTAAGCCCCACAGAGCCACTCACTCACTTCATCCCAGTGGGATGAGGAAGAGACTCAGAAGGGTAAAATCAGAGAACCATAGAATCATTAAGGATGGAAAAGACCTCTAACATCCTCAGCTTCAACCATCTACCCAACACTACCATACTCACTAAACCATGTCTTGAAGTGCCACATTTACATGTGTTTTTTTTAAACACCTGTAGTGATGGATACTCCACCACTTCCTTGGGCAGCCTGTTCCAATGCTTAACCACCCTTTCAGAAAATATTTTTTTTCCTAATATCCAATTTAAACCTCCTCTTGAGCAACCTGAGGCCATTTTGTTTCACCTTATTTCTAGTTACTTGGGAGAAGAGACCAACATCCACTTCTCTATAACCTCATTTCAGGCAGTTGTAGAAAAAAAGTGAGAAAACTCATGGGCTGACATAAAGACAGTTGAATAGGTAAAGCAAAAGCCATGCACACAAGCAAAGCAAGACAAGG